ATGGCTGTGCTAAGGGGACCCAGCACAGATGGGGCAGCTCAGGGGCACCCCAAGGAGCTCCGATGGGGCCATGAGATGCTGAAAGGAGCTGGGGATTGTCTCCTGGGCTGGGGAAAAAGGCATTATAACTGCAGCACAACCCCTCCCCTTCTTTCTCCTCTTAAATCACTGCCTTTTTTTCCTCCTGGCAAGCTACCAGCCCCATGCACCTTCCCGTGCACCCCCAAGCACTGTTGCACCCCCTCTTTGCCCATCATCACGCTCCAGCTCTGCCCATGGGTTTTCCCTTTTGGCTGTCAGCAGTTTTGCCAGCTCTCTCTCAAAATAGGAAGCGGCCAAAGCAAGCAGAGATACCTGAACCTGCCATTCACCCTCTTCTTGTCTGGACTCAAGATGTTCTGAAGCTCTCCCCTTTCTATTTCTATCCTCATTGTCATCCTGCTTTGAGAGGAAGGTCTATTATTCCCCCCCTCCTTTTCTCTCTGCAAAAATGGGACATTGTTTCTTCTTTCTTTGATTTAAAAGCCAAAAACAGTTATAGGAAACTGTTCAGCAGATGTTTTACAGTTTGAACCTAGAAAAAAAAGTTAAAAAGAAAAAAATAAAAGCTCTCCGATTTTGCTTGAGGATCTATATTTAGCCCAGTGCTTCCTCCCATTCAGGGTTTGTGTTGGCATAGGCGAGGCGTAGGTTTAAGCACTTTGATTGTAGTATTTATTTTATTTCTCCCATTTGCTGCATCCATTAAAATCTGGAGCTCGCTGCACGAGCTAATGAAGCTCATTCAGGGAGGAGGTAAATCCAGCTTGCTCTGTGCTCCAGCGAGGTCCCTTGCAGCCCACAGATGCTCAGGGCGGGATTGAAAGAAGAAGGATTTCTCATCCTATTTGCATGAGGGTGAGCAAGGTTGTGGCCCTGCTCATGGCAGTGCCCAGTGCTGGTGCCCGGGGTGGCCCAAATACAATGAAACTCTGGGCTGAGATTTATGAAGTCTCAGAGGGAGATTTATAGGCACTGATTGAACCGATGCTGTGAGCCTCCGTGTGCTGAAAATGGCATTCGCTGGGTTTTGGAAAGAGCTTCAATCAAGACAGCCAAAACTCATCCTGTAAAAACCTTCCCCAGGCCAGACTCCTGCTGACTTCAAAAACCCAAGGACTCGGTACCAGCTGAGCGAGACCTGGATAAGGCTGAGGGTTAACATCGGCAGCCGTGTGTGTTCTTCCCTCAACCAGAAACAACAGGAGAAACCTCATCTTGGCACCATGAGGTGATACTGTGGGTGGGAAATAAAGAACCCAGAAGATTCACGTTAATGAAGATACAGCTTGTTTGCTGCAGCTGATCCAGCGACTAGCCCAGAGACCCTTTACAAAGCCTCCTTATCCTAATGGCGAGCCAAATCTTGGACCAAAAGCAAAGCCTATAATGCTTACTATTGGAAGTTTTCAGCCAGAAAAAGCTGTGCTATGGTCTTATTTCCAGGGCTGCAAACCCAGAGCATCTCCACTGAGATGGGAGGTGCATGTGGTCACCCAGATATAAGGCAGGGAGGAATTAATCCCCACTGGGGCATAGGCTGGCCTTAAATGTGACACAGGGCACCACTGGCAGTGATCTTGGCTGTGGTTTCGAAGTTGAAATCAAAGCTGTGTTTCCAGACATTAATGGCTTGTTTGTTGTCTAAGATGGTGGAAAACCAGATAAAAGCTGTAGCCCAAATGACCTGTTCGGTTTCCAATAGGGCATTGTTGGTGCGGTTTCTAAATAGCCTGCATTAGAAAGACAGAGCAATTAAAAAGGCAAACTCACCCAAATTCATGGGCTGAGCTCTGGGATGCTCAGAGGATAAAGGTCTAATTCATTGAAAAATCTTTGGCCCCTTTATTTAGGGTTTCTCTATATTACATATGCAGACAACCAGGAATGTCATTTTTTTCCAGACTGCTTTTTGCATAAATTAGGATTATTTGCTGCTCATCAGCTCACCCTGCTGTGACCCCCCTCTTCTCCATCCCCCCTTGCTCTGCTTAAAATGCACAGGCCCAAGCTGGCTCCTGCAGAAGGCAGGCTGGGGCATCTGAAGCTGCCTGGGGTGGCTTGTTTTGGAGACCTGTGGAGGGTAGAAAGGTTCATGAAACACTTAGAGCAGGACATAGGACACTGCTGAGGGTTCCCCCTCTCCTGGGTAGGTATGCCAGCCTCAACTATTCCCAGAGGATGGATGCTGCGGTTGTTCAGCCTGGAGAAGGCTCCAGGAGACCTTAAGAGCAGCTTTCAGTGTGTAAAGGGGCCAACAAGAAAGCTGGAGAGGGGCTTTTGACAAGGGTCAGTAGGGACAGGCCAAGGGGAATGGCTTTAACCTGCCAGAGGGGAGACTGAGATGAGCTCTTAGGCAGAAGCTCTTCCCTGTGAGGGTGCTGAGGTGCTGGCACAGGGTGCCCAGAGAAGCTGTGGCTGCCCCATCCCTGGCAGTGCTCAAGGCCAGGTTGGACACAGAGGCTTGGAGCAAGCTGCTCCAGTGGAAGGTGTCCCTGCCCGTGGCAGGGGTTGGAGCTGATGAGCTTTAAAGTCCCTTCCAACCCAAACCATCCTGTCATGCCACGAATCTATGATGCTGGGACCTGGGCATGCCCTTGTAGTGCTGCATGGGAGATGTGAAACGTGCCTTAACGCAGCCTGTGTCCGGGTGGAAACCTGCTCGGCCCTGGGAGCGCTGATAAATGAGATGCTGCTGCTTCCCCTCCCTCCCACACACTTCCACTTTCACTCCACATGTGGGACCCAGCACTGCGATCCCAGCCTGGCCATAAATCACCCCTCCATCGCCAGGCAGCCACGGTGACAGCATGTATAAGCCTGCCGGTACTAGCACTGTTTTCCCTCTTTCTTCCTCCTGGAGCTCTTGGTGTCTTTCACAGAAGGGAACATCTCTCCTCCTGGGGGATGTCACCTGTGTCCTGTTATCCTGCCTGAGCTCCCCCTGATAATCGACAGAGGATTCAAAAGAGAATGTGTCCAAACGTGCCTCGTGGAGCTCAGGAATTAAATATGAAAAGGCACAGCTGTTCCCAAAGCCTACGCTTTGTCACAGCCAAACTTTCCTTGACCTGGAACCATGTGGAAAATAAACAGGGAGGTAAAGGACATGTTAATAACTCATTTCCACAAAACCAAGCCTCCCATATCTGCTACTGTATTATTCTCCTTCTGCTCGTTCTGGAAACAGCGTATATTTTATCAGATACACGTATTTTTGCATTGGTTTAGGTGATCCATTAGAGCACTGTGCTGAAACGCCTCCAGCCTGTGCGCAGCTCATAGTGAAGAACTTCCTTATACCTCATCTAAATCTCCTCTCAGTACCTAAACCAGTATCTAGAGAGCATGAGGGGACCAAGCTCTCAGGCAACAGCAACAGCATCAATTCCTGCTTCCCATTCATTCTCCTCCTGGTTTAAGCATAAGAAGCATTTTCAGAATGGGCTTTATAGGACATTTTTGCTGCGGTGCTAATCTTACGTTTTCACAAAGAAGATGCAAAGGGAAGCAGTTAAATGATCCCGATTCGTTTCCCGTATTTTTATACCGGCTTGAGAAGCGGTTGACTCCTTACAAATGTCAAGATTTTGATCAGCCTTTTGAATTTCACTGCAGCAAGATGCAGGGAATCTGTGACCAGATAAAAGAAAACCAAAATATCTCTCTTTTTTTACCCCCAGTGCTAATAGTAAGTTAAGTAATAAAGAGCAAGTGATTAACTGGCTGCTGAATTCGTTTTGAAATCTGGCCAGATGTGTTTGAGCAGGAATTGTTAGCTGATAGCAGTTTTGTGTATCTGATCTTTATTTATACGCCTGCCTGGGAAAAGAGCACTTCTGAAATCTGGCTTTATAGTCTCAGATTAAATGATTGGGGATGAGGATTTGAATTCGCAGATCTGAAGAGGGGCTGTGTGATGAAATCCTATCTGCTTTTTCTCCTGAGTGTATCAGGCAGCCTAATAAAAGATCCTCCTCCCAACCAACAGGCCTAACTGGTCCTTGATGACTGGTTTTACAGCTAATATCTTCATGAATTGTAACTGATTTACCTTTTTCTCAGAGTTTTCAGGAGTTCCTGTGTGTCCCTCTCCTGAGCTGTTAATGGTGGGAGTGAGGAGGTTACAGTGATCATATTCACATTGGCTTTTAGAAGAAGGATGAGTTTTTTGGTGTGCTTACAAGGCAAAATTCACAGATCTGCATTTTAAGGGCTCAAACTGGCAATGTTATAGCTACAACTTCCCCAGAGATGTTGCTTAACATCAGAGTTAGAGCTAAGTGGAAATCCCTCACTTCCACAATGAGAAGATGGATGGGACTTGGTGTTATTGTGGGTTATCCTGTATATACTCATATATGTATTTACAGGCATGTGTATGGACTAAAAATGAAAACTCAAAGCTGAAGGAGGGAATTTTTCTGCACATAGTATCACACCCAAGCCAGTCTGTCATCTTCAGACGTTTGTTATTTAAAGCCTGTTTCTGTACTGCTCTCGTACCCCTTATAGAAGTGAGATAAACCACGTATGAGCGAGTTTATAGCAATTAACTCAATCCATATGAAGGGGATTTAACTGTAGCAGTCTCTAACCTAATATAGCCTCACAAAAGTCATGTGTGGACCAGTTTTGAGCTGCCATAGACCCTGAACTGCTTCTCTTTTAGTGTGTATCTGAGTTTCACTGACTGTCACTGACTGCGTGCATCCATCATGTCACATCCACTATGACTGATCTGAGCTCCTGCCTGACCTGAGGATGGAATGAATTTAGGCAGGATGAGGGGGAATGGCTTTAAACACACAGAAGGGGGAATTAGATGAGACATTAGGCAGTTCTTCCGTGTGAGGGTGCTGAGGCGCTGGCACAGGGTGCCCAGAGAAGCTGTGGTTGCCCCATCCCTGGCAGTGTTCAAGGCCAGGCTGGACACAGGGGCTTGGAGCAAGCTGCTCTAGTGGAAGGTGTCCCTGCCCATGGCAGGGGTTGGAACTGGATGAGCTTTAAGGTCTCTTCCAACCCAAACCAGTCTGGGATTCTGTGATTCTACATAAGCCCTTATTCTCTTGCTTTTGAGGACAGAGATTTCCCCTTGACTTCAAGAGGGCAAGCAGCATCTTTGGGCTACATACAAGGAGGCAATTAATCGGGTGTCCATCCCTGACTTGCTGGCTAGAGCCCTGGTGGTGCCTATAGTTTGCTTTTGAGACTAGCCAGCAACAGAAAGCCTCAGCACCTGCAGACCAGATGTGCACAGCTCTTGGTGGACCATTGCTGAAGCATCTGGGGCACAGGCTGCGTGTCATTGCCTTGATTTTGAGGAGGGGCAGGAGGCAATGGTGCTGCAGCCTGGACAAACCTGCCGTGGTATTTACACACCCAGGCAGCTCATTGATCTGGCTGTATCACCCTTTCCTAGGGCAAACAGAGGCTGGGAAGGTATCCTTGCAAATCAAGATCCCTTTCTTTTGCTCCCTTCTACAAGGGTCAGCATGCAACACCAACTAAAAGCAGATAGATTCAGGCACTCAGGGTCATTTTATCAGTTCCTGCTCTGTTTTTCCACTGTAATATGGAAATGATGATACTTACAGATCCATAAAGCGATGTGGAAGCTTATTACATGCAGCTTCTCACCTTTAGTGTCTTATGATCCTCTAGCAGGACCACAGGTCTGCAGGATCTATCCCTGGGAAGTCATCTGGGGGCTATGAGGTGATAGGGGACAGCCAGTGAAACTCTGGTTGCGTTGAATTTTGCCCAGGAGATCTGTGCTCAGCACCAGGATGCAAACCGCGACCCTCTGCAGTCATAGCCACTTTCAGCATGATGCTGCTCTCATTTTCCATCCACTCCTCTAGTCCAAAATGGTGATATGGGTAGCTTATTGGGAAAGGGGCTGTTTCTGCTGACACTTATGTCCAGCAGCTCCCAGAAGGAGCCTGTGTGCCCACGTGCCTCTAAATTTAAGCAGCCTACCAGCGCACAACCTGCGGAACATCCACAGGACACCTCAGATTCAGTAAAAACATTAATAACTGCTTAAGTTCAGCATTAAGGAATCATTTAATTTTTTTACAAGTACAAAGAAAATCCAAACCATCTGGAATGGAAAGTACTTCTCGAAGCACAATGGCTTTGTGATGAATTCCATGAGCTACCCGAAATTCAACCCAACCTTCTGTTGGGAGCTGAAGCGACCGGTTTAGGTGACTGATGGGACAGCAGCGACCCTGAAAGCAGGCGGCCATGTGCGAGCTGAGGGAGGTGATCTGCACGCAGCAGACATCATGCTGCCTTATAAGAAACAGCCCGAACCAGAAGCCTCTCATTTTGCAGACACACAGTCCATTGGACAGCCATAATAGAGTGGCTATTAATATATAGATTATTGTATCGGAAGAACCGTCTGCTGCAGAGCAAAGCATCCAGCCCAGGGAAAGACATCTTGTTTGCAGCTGCCAGTGGGGTTATCCTGGAGCCTAGGGAAGAGTTGCCCAGATAAAAATGGATTGCTGGATGCATTCCACCCCTTTGGTGCTCAGACGTGACCGAGCCTTTGTACCAAAGCCCAAGGAGGCTGGAAACCTTCCCGAGAAGATGGGAACCCTGTAAATCATTTCCTGTGTTAAAATAGCTACAAGAGCCATCCGTGCCTTACGGCTGCAAGTCAACAGGTAACATCTATTCGGGTCACCTGTAGCTGTGTGCTTCTAAGTTAAGGTAAGGCCTAGAGGAGAGGTTCATTATTCATTTAGGAGAAAATCCTCGAAGGATCTGTTAACAGTTTTATGTGCATAAATATTGGGGGTTCTTACTATTTGTCGCCACGTGCATATGAGCAATGTGTCGGACTGGGGGGTGTGAAGAACAGGAGAGACCTTTATGCCTTGTGAACACTAGTTCTGCACATTGGATTTCTCTGGGAAGCATTTGGAAGCAGTAGATGCCTGAGAAGCCCTGTGTAGGCAGAAATTATCCACGTGAGAACAAATACAGCTTTGGTCTGCACTTTGCCAATGTGCATCTACAATGCCCAGTTTTGGACTGGGAAAGGGTGTCCCCAGGAGTTATTTCTCTCCCCAGACAATCAGTGCTCCAGTGACAGGGCTTAGATGTACATGCTGCTTTTGTTAATTGTAAGGATGCTGCAATCTTCCCTGAAAGCCAGGGAAGGGCTGAGTCCCATGGCTGTGTTCTCGTTTTTTGCTGCTACATTACAGCTTGCCATTAGGATTTCAAGGGGGAATCGCAGCAGCTGTTCCCAGCCTCCCATTTTGCCCATAAACAAAATGTCCCAGAACAGCACATCTGCAACCCTTGGTGTTTGGGCTTTGCCTCCCTCCTGGGGCTGCTGGCAGGGGTTGCTCACGAAGGCGGCGTGACAGGGATCTGTGCTGCAGCCAGAGAGGATTTTCAGCCTGGAGCCCTCTCCTGGAGGAAAAGGCAGCTTTACTGCCTGGAGAGGCAGAGCAAGAGAGGCAGGATGGGCATGTCCTCCTGCATCCAGGATCAGGGGGTTATTGATGGGGCTTCGGAGGTCCCTGGCCATGCTGTGAGGATGTTAGGTGTTGGGAGAGGGTCCTGCTCTCCCGGAGTGGAGCGGGTGATTTACCCTGAGGGTTTTGGACTGAGCCCACTGCAGTCTGTGTTTCTGCCCTCTTCTCTTTTGCAGCCCAGCTGGGAAAGCACCCATCTGCCCTTCTGGTCCCAGCAGCCTTCTCCTCTCTAGAGAGCCCCTGGCCTCCTCCTTTAGCATCTTGTGTTGAAAGCAGCCTTTGGGGTGATGCACGTTAGGACTGTTGTCTCCATCAGAGGAAGGAGCCGAACCAGTGCCTCCCAGCGCTGCCCGAGCATCTCCCCTCCCTTGTGCCTTATAGAAGGGGAGTTTGCTTCAGCCTTTATGCTTTTAAAAGCACGCAGCAGCTGCCCAGGGTGGGTGTTGGGGTGGTATGCCTGGTACCAGAGGCTTGTGATAAGGGGGTTTTGGGTATGCTGCCAGGCTGGATCCATCCCAGGACTGTGGGTAAGGCAGACAGCAGAGACCACAGTGCTCTGGAGCCAGCAATGCCCTGGGATATGCAGGAGAGCAGAAAACACTGAGGTACCCAGGGGCCTTTCAGGAGGAAACAGCATTTTCTTCCATTAGCCTCAGAGGCAGCAGCTGAGCTAAGGGTGGGGAATCATAACATGGGTTAGTAGGGCTAGATAAACCTCACCCTGGTCATGTCCTGCGTGCTTTGGTTTTGGTTGTTGTGAAGGAATAACCACCACTTCACAGGGACTTCAGGGGCTGGCGCAACACGTGTGAAGTTACTCAGATTGCTTTACAGGACGCAGGAGAGCACAGACCCAAAGGCCACAGCACTGGGGGGCCAGCAGGAGGCTCCCCCCATAACCACCTCCATCCAACAGCTTTAATCTTTCCACTGGCATGCCATCTGCCAGAGGTGGATTTTCCTGGCTGGCAATGGCTCCAGCGTGGAGCTCGCCTTTCCCACCGCCCTGGATGCGGAGCTGACCACTCCCCCTCCCTTTGAATAGGCGGCCCTGCTGCAAACACTATGGTATTTCCATCCTCTCCAGCTCCAGCGCAGAGGATAACACCAGGTAGTTGGAAAGAGCTCGGAGACAAGTGTGGGAAGCTGTGGAGGACATAAACTTTCCCCCTGATCTTTCAGCTAAGTAGTAAGTGGGAGAGAATCTCTTTAAGTTCTTGTGTGGGTTGTAGGTACCTGGGTTTGTTTTCAGGACAGCTAAGACTTGTTTTGCTGGTGATTTACTCCCTCCATTTCCAGTTTCACCCAGCAACTGATTCATGTGTTTGCTAAGAGTACTGCAGGAGCTTCTATAAATGTCTGAGCTGATGCTTCCCTTTAAAAATCCCTTCTCTTTTTGTATGTATAGAATCTATAAATTGTATGTGCATGTTTAAGAGAACATTATTATTTTCCTCATCTAGAAGGCTGTGCCTTGGCATTATTACCATGAATTAGATGTGCAGTTCCTTTCATGTTTCGAGTTGCACTTTGATTTGAAAGGGGTTTGGTTCGTTTTCCTTGCTAGGCAGGGGGAGAAGCGAAGTCGGATGCTCACTTGACTCCCTCCAGCCCTATGCACAGACAGATAGGGAAGGTGTAGCCCCTCAAACTGGGACTGATTTCTGCCTTGGGGGGGGGGGGGGGGATGCTTGTAAGGGGTTTGCTGCCGCATCTCAGCATGTTTTCCATAGCAATGCCAGCCCCCGCAGGGCAGAAAGTGCCACAGGTGCCAGCATTTGCTTTTGGGAGGAACTGGAGCCTTAAGTGTGACAGCCACAGGGATGTGCTGCCGTGCTGCTGCCATTCCTTGGGAAGGGCACGATCCTGCCCCCTCATCCAGCCAAAAAGAGCCAGTGGGAATTGTGAGTCCCTGAGGATCACAGCCAAGGCCTTCACCCTTCTCATTAGCCTCTAAATCATTGCTTTGCATGTGGCCAGTCATTTGGTAGCACAGTTACCATGAACTTTCCATCCTGTGCTGTCAACTGACACCTTTGGGGGCTGTGGGCTGGGTCCAGAGCAGTTTCCTGCTTACAGGCTATTCCTGATGCCTCTAATTTGGGTGGGTTTTAAGCTTTCCCCTGCCTGCCATGTAAACTATTTTCTGCTGGGCCATAACCCCTGACCAAGCCCCCCTTGAACAGGGGCAGTTTGGGCTCTCCTTGCTGGGTCATATCCTTCCCTGATGCAAAGGATCCATTGCTAAGCAGTGGGAAACTTATCCAGCTCTCCCCCACTTTGCTTTGCCCCAGATGAGGATTTGGCTCGTGATGCTGTGCTGCAAGACTATTATTTCACAGAGGGACATCCATGAGTGAAATAACAGATGACCTAATTAACCTCCCCCCCCCTTCACATCTTCCTGCAATTGCAAGTAGGTGTTACGATCCAAGAGAGAGCAGCAGGATTTAATGGCAACAGCCTCTCTGGCTGTTCTCCCACCTAAACCCCTCTCCTTGCCATAGCC